GGTGCACCGGTTTGTGCGTAGGCTTTCCCGCTAAGAGCTTAGAGGTTAGTGTAAAGTTTAAAATATTGGGTTTAGGGTTTATGGCTTAGGCTGTACGGTTTAGTGTCTGGGAGTCAGGGTTTAGGGCTTAGGCTTACGGGAAATCAAGAGCCACCGTAAGAGCATCTAGACCTTGAAAATTGACGACCATGCGCATCATCTGGTCCCCTCATCGATCGTCATGCTTCCCAACCATGATTGTGGAGGCGCAGATAGTGCAATACGTTGGTCCTATCCACCCGTTAGATAACAACTTGGCCATCTCCGACATATGAAAATTAAGCTGTTCTGGGGCCATGCGGTGTCTAACAGGCTTCGTTGGCAATTTACCAGTCACGAACAGACTGCTACGGTAGACGCTGGCTCGCACTGTTCAGCTGATGGTTCATGACATGTCCGTGCATCCTCAGCTCCTGTGTTACGTTGATTCCCCATGCCGACCACCTTCTTCCTCCACTTTGGAGAGACTGGAATGCCATTAGGTCTGGCCAGTACAGTGCACATCAGTCCGTTTTCACCTCCTACTACACGTAGGCTCTTTTGTTGAAACGTTAGGCAGCCCCTCCACTGGTGCGTTTTGGCTGCTGTTTTGGCTTCCTCTGTCCCGACCCCCTATCAACCAGTTGTTGGGCATGCTCTAGCGTAGCCTCCCATACAATCTCACTGCTTGCATGCTGCCTCTGGTGGGTCACTTGGTATGTTACTTCCCACTGAGACATGCCCGTGCTTGGTGCCCGCTCCCCTTACACTCACTGTCATGAGCTGAACCATATACCCTTTGCTGGATCTGGACTTGAACCGCTGATGAGGTGGGCGTGATTGCTGAGTCCATCCAGATGGCGCATATCTTACCCCAGTTTCTGGCCGATGGTAAACCCACTGAATTACCTGAGATGCCAATCCAGATCTGTTCGTGCGTCGGAGCACTGTGCAGGAATTCTGGTATGCGAGTGTCCAACACCTTTAGTTGCTGAGAGCCCAGAGAGGTGAGGCATGGCTCTGCTCAGGCGAGCATACCAGGCCACCAGAAGAACATGGCCGCTCGATCAAGTATTGCGTTGACCCCACCACGACCCGCTCAAGCCTGATCCCTTATTTTGCGCAAAGCTTTTGTGCGAAGCGAAGCCGGAGCATCTAGCCGGCGGAATCAACGATTCGTTTGGTATCGCATGAGGTTTGCCGTCTCTTCTGTAGTGCTTAGCCTGTCCCTCGTTTTTGACCATAGCAAGAGCCGCAGCAGCTGAGTATCTAACGAGTCCAAAAATGCACTTTAGAGACCGGCCACATTGGTGATGCCTTTGATGCACTTGACTGCAGTCGTACTGCGAAAGCGGGGGAAGCCAGCGAACGGTTGCTTTATTGTGGCAGTATTGGAAAGTCCTTGCCAGGCTCGTCAGGGTTTGATGACCAGTTTGCACGGTGAAGTGCCTGCCAAAAAAAGTAACCCGATACCTTTTCACTCCCCACCAGACCGCGTACAGCGCTTCGAGTACCGGATGCTTTTCATGAAACTGTGTGGGTAGCAAACAGGTAGTTTGTATTTTACGATTCGTCGTCTTGCTGAGAAACCATCATCCCAAATGCCCTGTCATTCATCTGTTGATAGGCAGAAGATGTTGCCGAAATCAGGAAACGCCTGCACTTTCGACACTGACGGGTGTCTAGTGAAAATTCTCCATCGTATAAAGGGTCAAATATTTCAGCGTTTAGAATTCCTTTCAGTGCTCTTAAGGGCTTTACTTAGCAAACCGCGAATACTTTTAAGGCAAGCGTCAAGGTATGGAGGGGCTTAAAATTCGGGGCGTATGGTCTAGGGTTAAAGGCTTGTGCTTGCCGTCTACCACCCGTTTGAGGGAAGGGTTTGCCGCTGCTGCTCGAACCCTTTTTTTGCCGCTCAGTTGTTTGTTAGTGGAGGCGTAGGAGGCGGTAGGATGAATCAGACCCCGGAATTATTGAAACTTGGACAGCTCTTTGTTGCAGTTGTTGCTGTTCCTGGCCGCTGCGCCTTCACGAGAAGCGGCAAGCCGATATGCGTTGCCTACAGACCCATCAACGGCAACAGCAGCAGGGGAAGCCGCAACAGGAGCAAGTGGAGCACCAAACGAAGCACCAACATGTGCAGCAGCGAAATCAGCACCAGCATGCGTAGCAGCAAAAGCAGCATCATATGCCATAAAGAAATAATCAAAGTCCAGGTGATGCTCAAGTAGCACAGGGTGGTCTTGCAGTGTACAGGCAGCAGCGGAAGCGGCAACAGCAGCAGCAATAAAGGAGGAAATATCTCATTTGAGAGCAATGAGGTATTTTCAGGTGGAAGTGAATCTCCACACACAACCCTCGCGTGCTCTTCCAGTGCTACCGCAGATGCTACTGCTGCTGCTGTTGGGTGCTACATGCAGGCGCAACTGCTGTTGCCTTCATCGTTGGAAAGGCTGCTGTTGCTGCTACTTCTGCCGTTGCTGTAGCAGCAGCCCCGCACTTTGACGTACTCTGGAAGCGCCACCATTAGTTCTTCTCGGGTATTCACGCGTTCAGGGTCAGTTGTGCACCTCACCTCCTACAGCAAAAAGCAGACGCTGCAGCACACTCAGCTGCAGTATCTACAGAAGCAGGTGGTGGTGCAGTGGTAGATGCTGCGATAATGCGGCTCCAGCGGTGTAAGCAACAACAACAGGGACTACTGCAGCAGTAAAAGCAAATGCAGAAGCAGCAGCAGCAACTGTTGCTGCTGCTCCATCGGCACCAACCGTCTTGTTGCTGCAGCGGCTGCTTCTGCAGCAGTCTGCCCCTCTGTAAACTGCAGCGAACTGACTTTTACCTGTGCGGTCAAAATATCATTCCGAGAAAATGATCGCGCAGGTCTTTCACCAATCAGATGCACTGTGCTGTTTTTTTTGCTGCTGCCACTCCTGCAGTTGCTGCTGCTGCCGTTGTTGCTGCTGCACTCCCTGGTGCAGGAACAGCAGGTAGTGGCTTTCCTGGAGTCGGCAGCAGACTGTAGAATATCTGGAAGCAGCTGCTTGGCAGCAGCACGGTCAGGCGATGCAAACAGCTGGAACGCGGTGATTCTGTGCATAAGTCATCCCACGCGTCGAATAATTCAGGAACAGTGGCAACCTTGACCTTCTTGACCATGTCAAGAAGGCCCCGGATTCGTAAGGCCATTGGAAGGATTATCCTCCTCCACAAGCCTCAATTTCATCAATACGGTGGGGTGCCAAATTGAAAGGCTGTTCACAGCCTACAGATCCTCCAGGTTCGACGGCAGATGTTGTATTTCTTCCTTTCTTTCTTAGTTCCGTTTGACTCGTGAGGCATTAATAGCCAGGGTGCCCTTCCAGTAGATGAAATACCAATTCTGCCGTGGAGGGCCGCGGTGGTCAATAGAAGGCGGGGCGAAGCAAATGTGGATCAAGACAAAGCCATCGCGCACATGGCCTCCGTATACGTGTAGTATTCCCTGTTGGAAGTTGGTAGTACTTGCATTTCTACTTAAATGCAGGCTACACACTGTGGACCACGTAAGGGTTTAACGCTTGTCTACAGTGTTAACTACGGCATCCAACAAATTGGTCTCGGTATTGCATGCATGCAGGGTTGCCTTACTGCACTCGTTGCAGCAATGTGCGCTGCACCTAATGACAGAATATGGGTCGTCCCCTGCGCATCATAGTTAACCCTGAGTCTTTCTTGTCATGACGCCTCGCGGCTGGGGGGGAGGTCATAATCTGCCCCTCGCTGAACTGTCATTAGACGTTTTCGAGTTAGTGCAGCTCTCTGTTGCCCGTAGTTAGTAGTGACCGAGGGCTTCGCTACTATTTGAACCGGCTGATCACTTTATCTTGAGTCCAATATACTAAAACCCGTGCTGAAGGGTCTCGCCGCTCAGCAAGCGCCAATGGAAGTATACGCCTCTCTAAACGGTTGTTGCTCTTACTGCTTCTGCTCTTACTACTACTGCTGCTGTTACTATTACTACTGCTAGTGCTGGTACGGGAGAACTTTGGTGGGGCTCCAAACTGTAATGCCGCCGCAGCAGTTCTGACGGCGCCTGTGGCTACTGAAGGTCCTCCACGACCCACCTACGTTATTTAAATGATTTTGAAATTCGATTCGTTAGCAAGAAAAGAGCTAGCTTACTTCCCCATTGCACTGGGCGCACAGAGGCGGCTGCATTGAACCTGCGCAACTGTACATCATGCGAACTCTGACGGCTCCATCATTTTGTCACCTTAAATTAGCATTATTACATTCGTAATTTAAAACGTGTTTTAGACATTCTTGTCTGCGGCTCTAGGCAAGGCGAATGTGCCACTGTAGTGCAGTGGAAATTTATCTGCAATTTACACTTCTCAAGAATCGAAGGTTGCGAGAGTTTTCGCCAATCTGCAGATGGCCAGTGCTGTCTGCTCAGCCGCCAAAGACGTCAAAGTGGCTACGGATATGCCTGCGTATTTTTAAAAATGTCCGGAAAAACGTTCATAAAAATTAATCTTTTTCGTTTGTTCTGTCATCCTCCAGTTCCGTGTGCTTTTACGTAATCAGTGGTATAAAGCAGCCAGCAGTATACTCTCGCCCTTTGTGCGCCGTCTCATCTTCCGAATCCACTGCTGCATTCGTGAAGCTGCTGTAACGTGGTAGTGCTGATGGTCGCAATTGTGTGCCGCATTCGCATTCGTTTGCCAGTTTTCGACGACGTAAAGCAAGCCAAATTACTGCAATCCAAATGGATTGCGTTTCCTGCTATCACCGGCGTCCTGACCCATGTGTGTTTGTCCATTCCAGCGACCTACAGAAAGCTGAATCAATAGTTTGTTGCCAGCCTTAAGCCCCGAAGGTCGAGGCTGCATAACCCGATTCATGATGGCTTTACACCCCGTGCAATGCTTCTTAATTGCTTCCGGGGTAGTTGCTTCTGAATAGCACGAAAATATCGTCGTTGCATCTGAATTAGGTACACCTCATTCTTGTTTAGGGGTGGTTGGTTGCATTTGACACCCCCCCGCGGCGGGGTCTGTTGGTGTAATTGTATCCTCTTCGGCGGTTATTTCTCTGTCTCGGAGATCCTTCCTAAAGCTTGAAGATAACAAGTGCGGAAGGTTTTGATCCTGCAGAATTCTAGCTACCTGTGTATCTTTCAAGTACACTTGCTGCTTTCGATGTTGCTGCTGCTGTTGTTGCTGCGGACGCTGCTGCGGACGCTGCTGCTGCCGTTGCTGAAGCAGCGGCTGTTGGTGCTGGTGATTCTGTTGCTGTTGTCGCTGCTGTGGTTGTTGATTCTTTCCCCTCCGGCGTTTCGCTAGAAGTGCACGGCTTTGAGGGCTGTCTTTGGGAAGCCCCATGTAGGCGGTGTATTGAGGAATTTGAGGAAATGACACCTTTTTTTCCCTCCCCAGCTGCGCGTTGTCGATCTCCTGAAGCTCGCACGAATCGCAGCTTTGGGTGTCAGAGGAAGGCGTAGACGCCGAAAAGAAATGCTTGCATGCAATCCAGTCTCTATTTGCGTCTGCCGATAAGCTGCAGGTGAGCTGCTGGTGCTGCTGCTGCAACAACTCATTGGCTGCCGGCTCTACAGGAGCCTCAACTGAGCGATTTAGGGAGGATTCAGCCAACGGAAGCAACCAAGAAAGCGTTTGCCTCCGTTCGACCTGCAGAGTTTGGCGAGGGGTTACAGGGGCAAGCGAAATGCTTGGTGAATGTGCGTTTGGAAGTTGTTGCTGCTGGCAGTGCGGCTGCAGACCTGCCATGTTGTCAAGGCTTTCTCTTGTCACTTCTGCGTCAAAAAACCAGTCTACCTCCTTTGGAACAGGAACGCCAGTGCGTGTATTCCAAAGCAGTGCTTCTGGTTTTTCGATGAGCCCTGCTGACGGCCACACTTGGGTGGGGAGGAGTTCTGCTCCCTGCTTAATGTGGAGGTTCAGCGGAAAACCTGCATGGCATTCTTTCTCTTGCAAACCACACTGGGTCACAGAAAAAGGATCAACAGGCCAATCGCACTCGCTGTTGCTGCTTTGCTTCAATGGGTGCGCACTGGGCTGTAAAGTTGAGAGGAGACTCATCGGCGGAAGCGGGAAGGGCTGATGCGGCCAGAATGGCTGGGAGCACCTGGCGTTGCTGTCGCGGGGCGGGGGCGGGGGGAAGCCTGTGCCATGGGTACACGCGGGTTCGTTTCTGTTTCCTATTGGTCGCTGCAGTGAGTCAAATGTAGAACTCGCAGGTCGTCCCTCGTCTGCCCATTGGTAGAGCATCCCATACTCAACATGCAAAGCCTTAAGCTGCTGTTGACACAGCCGCTTCCTACTTTGCTCTTTGTTCTCAACACCGGCATCAGGTAGATGTTGTTCTCTCTGCTGCTCCTCGATGGCCTCGTCACCGTGTACCAAAGAGAAGGTGCGATGAAGCAAAATCTCTCGAAGGCGTGTCTGAGGATGGTGAGCTTCTGGGGCTGGCAACGGCATCACATGCAACAGTTGGGAAGACTGTACCTCTTTTTCAAAAGGTGGCTTGGCGACGCCGCTGGCTTCCTGCGTGTAAGCCTCCCGCGGCTTCTCCAGGAAAGCGGCAATGCCCTTACAGAAGGTTGCTGCCTTCCTGAGGTAATATTTAACGGGCAATTCCTGCATCTCCAGCAACCACCGCAGCTGCAGCAGCTGCTGCGGTGGCCACTCATCCAGGCTTGCTGGTAGCGAGTGCTTCTCATCTGATGTTTCTGCTACTGCTGCCACAAGTAGGAATTCGACAACTTTGGTGAGGTGATACACTTGGCCATGTGTGAACATGCCTGCCCTTTTCGTGGCGCATCGAAACGCATGCAACAACTTGGGCAGATCAGCTGCGTATTCGTCGCTCTCTGGGAGGGAAAATGGCGCCTCTTCTTTGCAAGCCGATTTATCTCTGGTGTTTTCATCCTGAATGTCTTCTTCTATTGGTTCCCCCGGGTATGACCTCTTCCTGTTATAGGTAGCAGTATCCGCTAAGAAAGCTGCAGCTTCCTCTTGAGCCCTGAGACGTGTATATACTCCATCGCATTCGACATTTGTGGTGATATATGGGTCTGGGAGGCCAGGTATTTGAGTGGATTCCATGAAATCCTCTCGGCATCGTCTTTCTTCCAAAACTTCCAAAACGAAATATATTCCGTAAAGCAACTCGCTCAAATTTGTCCCTTCTGATGGGTAACGAAAGTTCGCAAGCAAGTTAGCGTCATCCACGCATTGAGCACAGCTGCTTGATGGAGTAATGCTAGTTGACAAAAGATTCATTGAATCCTCTTCTAATGGAGCCAGCAGCGGCAGTCGCAGCAACTGCTGCAGCGCCTGAGTCTGCTGCAGCTGCTGTTGCTTCGCTTGTAATTGCTGCTGTAATTGGGGTTTCTCTGGCCCATCTTCAGTGGCAGCAGGTGGTTCTCTGTGCAAAGCTTCTGGCTCTTGTTTCATACCCCACTTGAATGTACAAGTTTTCGCCTTTGCTTTATGTTGTTTTGGTGTTGCATGTTCTCCATCAGATGCTTCAGTAGGCAAAGTATCTGCTGCGTCAGTGGTGTCCGAAACTCCTCTTTCTGGGTCACTTATATCCTGCTTTCCCTCTGTGAAGCTGTATGCGGCTGTCTCGATTGCTCCCGTTCTACGTAGTGGCTCTTGAGGAACTGCCGACAGAGAAGGCCAAAGGGAATCCCACTGCTCGCTTGAAGGGGCGTTAGCGGGAACCGTTGGAGGCGGCTTTGGTTGCTGCTTCTGCTGCTTTGGTTGCTGCTTCGACTGTTGCTTGGGTTGCTGCTTTGATTGCTGCTTTGGCTGCTGTTTTAGCTGCTGCTTTGTCTGCTGTTTTGGCTGCTGCGTATTCTTAGGTTTCGGGGTTACGGCGCAATTGGCCGGGAGCGGTGCCCGCCGTTTTCCCGCTGCTGTGGATATCTTTGACCTTGCTGATGCCTTCTCTGTTGCCTTCGCTTGCGCCTTGCCCCGTCTCACAACTGTTGTCCAGTTGCTTTCTGTATCCTTTTCATTCATTTTGGCGGCTAGTTTGCCGTCATCAACCGTAGTGAACGCACGGCAAGATAGCATGCATTCGCCAGCTGCTGAAGCCAAACTTCGAGGGCGTCCCAAATCACCAGCAGAGCAGTGGCAAAGGCATTGCCCGCAAGGCAGAGAAGCACAGATGAGACTCCTTCAATTCTCTCGCGGAACTGCTGGACTTGAAGTGGTGAAGTGCTCTGGCGGTCTGATATGTGCGGCAAGAACATCGGGCCCTTTACAGATGACCGAATTCTATGGCAGGCAAATCAATCAAAGTCATTGAAGAAGTGAAAAAAATTGAGGGACGAAGCTCTCCGCGAACTTTCCAATTGATTTCAGGCGAACGTTAAGACATTATGAAAACTTTTTTTTGGCCGATGGTAACTGAAAAACGCGAAAGCATCACCTACCACTGTTAAAAACGAGAAAGATGTAAAATGCGATAAAAATACTTTGCTACTCCACCACTAGGTTTGTCTCCGGCTCGGCTTGCGTATTTCGATAGAGTTGAAAAAGAACTGAAGTGCAACACTGCCCGACCATAACCACACCGCCAGCATTACAGCCTGTACACTCGGCGAAACCATGCAACCTTCATGGAGCCCTCTTCCAATTCACTTCAGTTTGATGCACCATTTAAAATCGTGGAAACTTTATTTTGCGTTCCACATCCAACCCAACTGGTGGACTGTGGACTTCTCATTGGAATCGCCGGATCACAGAGCGCGAACTTCACGCCGCACGCTCAAAGGTTCTACCACCGCCTTTTGCAATAATCGTGCAGTTTTCTCCCACTAGAGCCATAAAGTATTGTTGGAAAGTTAATTAGTCTATTAGGAGTGCTCAGCTGAGGAGGTACTCGTCGAGTGGCCCTTCGCTTGTCTCAGGAACCCGCCGCCGATTAGTCAGAGGTGACCGCCGGTTCTATTTTTCCCGAAGGGTCGATGCTTCAGGTTTGCCGGGCTCGAAAAGCCAAAAGGTACGTTTAATAAACCTCCTCGTGCTTGTTATTTTCCATCAGTTGGAATATTATTGGCGTCCAAGGGCCCGCAATCGGCAGTTTGATCCATCTTGCATGGCCGACGATGCAGAATGGATCGCCGTGGGCGCCGATTGCTGCATGATACATGTGATTTCGGCCGCTCCGCATGCACAGAGCAACAAATTCCCTCAAAGCTCACACATACTGAGTTGATGTCTCATCATTTCAGCGATACAGATGCATGTGTTGCTACTGCCACCTTAGGAGCATTTGCCAGGGAAGGTTACGCCGTTTCCTACCATTTCCGTACTTGTAAGATTCGTTCGGATATCCCTTTTAGAGAATCCGACCTTCGGTTTGGAATCCGAGAAGCGTTTGTAACAGAAATCCTTCCATTATGCAAATGCAAAAGCCAAGTGAACTTTATGTAGGCTCTACCCCTCCGAGATGACAGACTGTGCAATGTCGGACAGCTACACTGTGGCAAAACAGTGCATGGCCTCCTCTCCATGCATCCTAAAGGCTGGCCAGAGTAAAATTACATGCTGCTATATACGCATAGCTGTCAAGAAAGTGGCTCGGCGCTCTAATGTAAACCAGCACACATTTGTGTGCACGCCCTAGCGCAGCGCTCTAAGGCTTCTCGCGCTCTTCAAGGTTGATTGCTTGCATTTAACCAGCCCCGGGTACATCTTAGAGCCCTTTGCAACCCATTCTATTCTTGACTAGTCTCCAGCTCTTCTGATCTTAGGCACCTCGTTGGAAAAGAAGCAAAAAGTTTAAATATTGCTAGTTGGCACACCCCCGCTGTGCTGTCTAGGCCTGCGTTCCGCTGCAGAAATAAAACCAGAAGGGCAAAGACGGTAGCACCAGCCCCCAGACCGACAGGAAGAGCTGCCGTACGACGCCAAAGCTCGTCCAAGTTCAGCCTTCCATCCAGAGAATGTATCTTTTCTACTTTGTGCTGCCGGCGATCAGCCGGCTTGTCAGCTGTGTGCACTGTCAGTGCCCTCTTGAGGCGACGGTTTGGAGCAGAGGTTTCTGGTTTCGATATGCGGCAATACCTGCATCAGTGCGCCTTACATGCTGGGAACTGTGACGAAGTCTGCTGCTTCCTTTGCGCTATCATAGCCGTCTCCAACGACCACCGCGATGCCGGCTACTTTGAACACAGGCAACTCGTCATGGGCTTTACCTAGGGCTAAGACCACTTCAAGAGATTCCCCAAGGCCGCACACAGCAGCCAGAGGGCCTCCTCTTTGTCCATTCCTGGCTTCAATACTTCAGAGGGTCCCGGGTGACTCTGCGGAAAGCCAATTGAATCCCGCAACTCTGCCTGAAGTCGTGGAAGAACGCCAGCCACCGCAGCAGGCTCACTTTCATCGTGGACTTTGTGCATTGGGGAAAGATTTCCTGAGAGTCTGAATTCCTCTTTGTAGAGAAGTAAAGGTCCCTCTGTAACCCCTAGAGCCTTATCTAGCAGCATCTCTTCCTCGATAACATTTAAAACGCCCTTGAGAGTTTCGAGCGGTATGGGTCTAAGATATGCACTCCGTTCAGATAAGTGCAAAGGATAAATGGAAAATCCATTTTCCCCGAAATTTGTTCCCCAAGTAGCTCCGTAACATTCGTGCGGGGCGGCCAGTGGCCATCGCTACCAGAGTCCCCCATGAATGGGCCGGTCGGAAGGCCTCCACGTTGTCTGCGGAAAATGCACCACCTTTGGCTATGAGATTTCCATCGATATCACTTAAAAATAAAAGGTAGTGATGTTTTTAAGGAAGAGAAGATGCGCTGGCTGTTCCCTGCACCTGTGGGCCCAATGAGGCCTCCGCAGCAGAGCCTGGGGACATAGCAGCGGCAAGGGCTAGGAAGAGCAAACGCAACAAAATCGTTGGGTTCGTTATAATCAAAACGCATACTCTAATTGTTGCTCAAATAATGCAGTGCACTCGTAGACATGCAACAAGTTAGCCATGTGCGGGACCGGCGCGGGCACGAGTGACCTCGCTGGCGAGGAGCGGAGCGCTACGTGTAATCAGTCTCATGAATCAGCGGTATACAGTAAATTCAAACTTTTCCACGCAACCCCCCTCTGCTTAATGGGTTCACGCTGAGCAACTGCACACGTGGAGGGGCATTTTGAGTCTTCAGGTGTGAAGGCCAACATGTTTGCCAGTGGACACCAGAACGGCGGCCCCGCTTTAGACCGCAAATCACCCATGCATTTAACCCCTAATTTACACTTTTTCGGGTATAGGAAAAAGCCTGACAAAATTGGCCACTTCACTGGCGTGTGTGGCCAACACATGTTAGCGGAACCACTTGCACGATTCCATTCGCATAGGATTGTTTATGGTTGAGTTGAACCTAAACCCTAAGACTTAGGGCCTATTATTCATTATTTACAGCGTTCATGTTTGGGGCTTGGGGGGTTTTGGGTCTGCAGCGTGTGCATAGATGGTTTGGGTTGTACAGGGAAAGTCTAGTTCTTCTGAATACCAGTATTCACCGTTTATAGGGTTTGGGGGGTTCAGACTTTGGGTTTCTAGGGTCCAGCGTTCACATGGTTTCGTGGTTACAGTATACAGGGTTTAAGACCTACATGTTTTAGTGTTTAACGGACTTATACTTTGCAGGGATTGGGTATTACGATTTAGGGTTTTAGGGATCATGGTTCTAATGAGTAGGAGTCTAGGGGTTTCGGGATTTTGCTGTTCATGGCTTAGGGCTTAGGGTGTTTGGATGTCCTGTTTAGGTTCAGGGCTCGAAGCTAGGTGTCCAGGGGTTCAGCTTTCAGGGTCGATCCATACCTGCGGCTCAACATGGCGCCCAGCATACTACTCGAGTCTCCCAACTCTAGTTTAATGATTTTTTTTTGGAACAAAAAACAAATATCTAGTTTTCTTTATACAAAAACATATTAAAACCACCTACATACGCTTCGTGCCCAGTAATTCCGGATAACACTGGTCTTTTTTTAATTTAAAAAATGTTTTTAAGTTTTCCCATCATTAAGACCGACTTCCGTCCTTGCTCGAGTAGTAATAGAATAGTCAAAACTGAAATATTTTCATGACGTTCTCAGCCTCAGGATGCGACGAGCCGACATCGAGGTGCCAACCCTCCCCGTCAATAGGAACTTTCGGGGGAGATCAGCCTGTTATCCCTAGAGTAACTTTTATTCGTTAAGCGACAGCATTTCCACAAAGAACTGTCGGATCATTAAGACCGACAAGCTTTACTATGTTTCAAACTTAAAAATAAAATTTAGTTCTTAATGTAGGTTCAAGTCCTACTGGACAAAGATTTGGAAAAATGGAAATGTGGGCGAATACAATATAATCAATACTTTATCCATGCAATCTCCGTGCCAGGAGCCGCGGATTTAATTCTAATAAAGCAATTAATACTATTTTAAATTCAATGTTAAATAAAATAGGATTAAATATTCGGGAAAACAAATTAGTTTCAACATTAGCTGCAAAGGATTAAAATATTTATTCTACTTTATTCCTTATCCAACGCGGCTAGTCCCCCTCTCAGGGCAACTACCGATCTAACTTAAATTGAAATCGAAAAAAATTGAAAAAGGGCAGGGTCTCCCACACACCATCTTTGTTTTAGTACTTTCCCTAGCCGCCGTGCCTAAAAAGTGAGACAAACTCTGTTGCTGGTGCTGCATCTGGTGCTGCTTGTGACGCCGGTGCACTGATGGTGCTGTTGCACTTTGTGCTGTTGGTGCTGGAGCTAGTCCCTCCCCTCCTGTAATTAGAGCTGCTGCTACCGCGTTTGCTGCCGTAACTAGTGCTGCTGCTGGTGGTGAACCTGTTGCAGCTGTTTGTGCTGCTGATGCAGCCCTTGTGCATGTGTTGCTTGTGCCAGCGGTTCTTTGCTAAAATGGCTGTTTTGTGTTAATGATTGCTCGCTGTTGCTGCTGCTGCGCCAAGGAGTTCGACGGTGTACTCTCAGCTGCTGCAGAGCCACTTTTTCTGCCTTAAGTCCACTTTTG